CTATAGGTTACAACCTATAGGTTACAACCCAAACCTTAAATTAAACCCTGAAGTATACTGACAGTCAAAAGAAAGCTTACAGAGCAGAAGTATAACCTGCACTGATGCAAGAGCATCAGTTCCAGTGCATTCTGTGCCAGCTGTAGCTTCTGGATGTTCTTCACAGGGTTCCTCATGGAAAGCAAATTGCAATAATCCATTTAGGAGGTGACCAAGACGTGAGTAATCATGAGCAGGGCCTCAAAGTCCAGGAAATGGCATGATTGGCAGGCAAAACAAAGCTATGCAAAAATCCTCCTTTCCATGGCTGCCACCAGTTCTGCAAACAGGAGCTGTGAGTTGAGAAGGACCTCCAAATTGCACATTGGATCTATTTAGGATAGTGTAACCCCCATTCTAGAACTTGATCATATGTCATCAAGTTGTTGTCAACCCTTGGGACCACCTATGTTTTCTCCATGATGATGTACCCTTAACCTAGTCCTTCCAATGGCATTGGAGTCTTTTCCAGAGAGTTGGGTCTTTATATAATGTATCCAAAGTAGGATAATTTGGGTATTGACATGGATGCCTCAGATGAGAACACTGGGTTGATTTGTTTAGTTAGTTTGGAAAGCATTCTGAACTCAGGAGGAGGAGAAGGAAGAGGAGGAAGAGGAGGAGGAGGAGGAGGAAGAAGAAGAAGAAGAAGAGGAGGAGGAGGAAGAGGAGGAGAAGAAGAAGAAGAAGAGAAGAAGAAATGATAATATTGGGATCCTCCCTTATACTGAAACTAGGAGTCCTATGTGAAAGCATATTTCAAACCTGAGAAAATTACTGTTTCTCAGGCTCAGTTTTTAGTCTCTTTTTAAAGAATTAGAAAGGCACTCATAAAAGTAATATAATGCATAAGACAATTCTATAGCTATATGCAGCTATATCAAGGGAAATCGCATTAATTTCAATGAAATGTATTCATAGTTTGCTATTTATTTATAAGTTGGAAACCTTCAACCTGTTCCTAGTTGAGAGCTGGTCTTCTGTATTCTTAACACTGTTGCATAAAAACGATTCGCCTAAACCTAAAACAACGGAATTCAAGCAATTTGCTTAAGCAGATCAGTTAAAGATTTTTGGCTCATACAGCATGCTAAGTTGATTAGCTTTATATTAGCCTGTATGCATATTGTTCAATGTCTTGTTTGACCTCAGTTTAATTGGGCTCTGCTTTCATGTAGTTGATCTTTTCAAATCTGGAAGATAATCTAATCTGATAACCGTGTTGTGTACATTGTGTGCACTTAGCCAACACTGTAGAAAATCAGAAGTGCAGCACAATTGTCTTATTACTCAGCTGAGCAGTTGATGCATAAAAAAACTGCTGCAAAACTTGCGAGCTTTTGTCAGACACTCATGTTGTCCTGGGATATGAATTATGACAGCATTAGTAGCAGTAGGAAGCAGAATAACAACATTTCTATATTACTTTGCAAGCATTATTTCAAGAAGCCTTGTTTGCCATCATTCCCTTAAATCAGAATATATTGTTATCTTCATTCAGCAGATGGGGGTAGGTGCCTTAACTGACAGTTGTCAGCTAAGATGACATTTAAACTGGAGACTTTGACATATCAGCTCCAGCTTCATAGCCTTACAGTGGAAGGGGCGTTTGCACTCATCCCTCTTCTGACGGGATTTAGCTGTTGGACTACAGTTCTTATCTGAATCCCAATTGAAACCAAGGGCAAAAACGAAAAGAGAATATACTCTGAGAATGAATTAAGCAGCCTGCAACTTTTCACTATCAGAGAGCTAACCCACTATCTGGTTGCCTAAAA